TTCAGCTAAGACTGGCAGAATCAAGACCATATGGATCTGGCCTGGAGTTTGCAATCAAACTTTAGGCTTGTTTGAAACTCAGTTGCTGACCTTGGAAATTCATCCATCACTAATCTTTACGTGCCGTTTTTACTTCACACACGATTTACTCTTTCTTTCTCACTGGTGCCTGGTAATCATTCAGAGCCACCTCAGTTTTTCACCTTGAGTCTTCCTTTGCTGGCTGGATAAGCACAGCAGTGTGGGCCATGAAAAAGTGCAAAACCTGGGGCAAGGAAATGCAGTGCTGGTTTGTGTGAATGTGCCTTAGCACTCCTGCAGCCCTTCTAGGCCTATGTAGAGACACACAGAAGAAAGAGCCCGAATAACGTATGTCTTTATTTAAGCTATACTTGGAAACATATTATTTCCTCTCCATTTCACTGCTGGCAGTTAGCTTGGCACTCAAGAATTAAGGACAGATTACAGTGATTTTCTTCAGAGCTCTGCTTATCAGTGGGGCTCCAGGGATGAGCCTGATGCAGAGGAGCTGCGTGGTGGGTAAATGGACAGACACAGTCTGGAGACACAGTCTTCCAGGAACTCTTGGGAATCAGAGATACCCCCTGCATATCAATCCTCCGCCTGACCAACGTTGTTCTATTTGTCACCCAATGAACAGCACTGCCAGAAGTGGTCCCAAACGATGCTCATCTAAAAGAAAGCAAAATTCCTGCACTCTCACAGTTCTTTCCTGGGAAGATGCGGATCCTTTTTAGAGGACTCTGAGGGTTTTGGTATTTTCCTTTCATTTGTTACTGCAGCTGGAATAACATTTTAAAAAGTAATGGCAATTTTTCAAAAGCAATATTTCAAAGAAATTGCTCAGGTCATTGGTGGTTTGTGTACCACTTGTGACTGTGTCTGGGGTAGAATGAAGGAAAAAAGAAGCCCAACTAGAAACATAACTAGAGAGACTGTTAGTTCAGGGAAGATCACTCGTGTGTTTGCAGAAGGAGAGAAGGGAGAGATGATATATACAGGTGGCAAATAAAGTCAGGGATTTTAACACACAAACAGCTTTAGCTTGAAGAAGGTGTCCTATGCAGTACATAAGGTACAGAGCACATGGACTCCAGCCATGTAGTAGCCCCCTCATGGATACAGTGCCCCAAGCAGGGATGGACAACAGAATCCCCTGTAGCTAACTTGCTGTGGTCACAGGACAACTACACAGTACAATAACTGACAGTCACTATCCACAAAACCTCAGCTTGCAGGTCACAGTGGGCTGAGCCAATTCATCCCATATCCCTAGGACTAGCATTTCATGACATCTGCCTTCACTGCATTCAAGTTCCTCTGTGGTCTTTGGAGCACAGACGCATATTGTCTCTGTGGGGCAATGTGAAAGGACACATGCAGAAGAGGGTTTGCCAGCTACAGACCCTGAATTACTTCCTGATGGAAAGGGGGACCAAACACCTGCTGGTACATCAGAGTAGGGCAAGAGTGTGTGTCACGTTAATTGCAAGAGTGGGATAGGAAAAGAAGAGTGGGAGCTGGTCTCTGCAGGAAGCTGAACATCATCCAGGAAAGCACATTCTTAACTTTGAGCATATGAATAGTCTACTAAAGTTAAGGGGATTAGTCACATGCTTGAAGTAAAGCTCATGTTTCAGCGCTTTGCCAGAGCAGATCTGAGGGACAGGGTCAAGCCCCATAATGCTGGGATCACAGATAACAGATTTTTAATTAACTACTCTTGAAACTAGAAAACCAGACACTAGTCAAGAGGCTTGAATCTCTGTTCAGAAAGAGGTTTCAAAGCCTCCCCAAAATGAAGAAACTCAGGCTAGATGGGAGAGTGCTTTGGCTAAAGCTAGATGGGAGTTACTAACCATTGCAAATTTGAATCTGGCTGTATTTCAAGTCAACTCTGCTCGAAAGACAAGTCTGAGCTTGCAGAAATCATGGTGGGGCTGTTAGACCCCTTCAATGTTATCACAGCATGTGGGGCTCCTCCCTGTTTTGCAAGTAGCAGAGAGGGAAATTCACAATATCCCGAGGGAGTTTTGTCCTTATTTGAGGCAAAACCGAGAAGACTGGTGTTTGAACAAACAGTCCCTTTGGGGATCTAGTTTGAGAGAAGATTATAAGAACATCTGCTGCTTCAGACACATACTCTCATAGTTTTTAAGATGCTTCATAGCCACTCAGGCCTTAGAAACCCTGTGCTATAGCAAGCAGAGAATCACAGAACTAGGCTCAAGATCCAGGGTTAACACTTCTCTGTTGTAAATATAAAGAATCGTAACCCTCATCCACCATCACCACAAACAAAGATACAGGCTCATATACAGCTTGTAAACTAACTTCAAGTCAAAGGTATTTTCATGCCATCAGCAGAAAGAAGAGAAAGCTTTGAGATTCCATGAAACAGCAAAAATGTTTCAATTTCTTTAAATCTTACTGCTAGACCTCTTTCAAAACCCTCTCTTTTTAAAGCAATGCACACCATGAGCAGCCACAGACCACACAAGACTGTACATCATCACCGGGGCTGTCGCATTGCTTTCCATGCCACAGGGCCTAATGGTGGACTCCAGGTAGATACCTCTGTGCCTTTTAGTTTACCTGGTCACTGCAGGTATCTGTATTCACATGAAACACCTTCTCTGTCACACTCAGCAATGCAGAGGAGGAAGCAAGTTTGCATTCAAAGCTGTTTTAATGAAACGTACAATTTTTCTAAAGCATGACTATCTTAATGAGAAGTTGTTTTTTTCCTCAGAATTTCCCCTCTTTTGAAAAATGTCACAGAATTCCTTAAAGGTCTCTTTTGGTTTTCAATTGTAGCTTTTCTGTTTTCAGTTTTCATTTAGTTTTTCATGAGCTGTTTTGATTTTTAATTTCCTTCTTCTGTCCAATGGCAATTCATCAGCCTCCTTACCTAGTAGGCACTTGCACAGTCAAACAGTTTCAAAGCTTTTCAAAACCACTCTATATAAAAACCTTACCAGAAAAAAAGAAAGAAACTAATCTACTTAAAAAGAAAGTTTCTTCAAAAGGTTTGCATTTTCAACATGAATAAATAAATGCTTTCTCTGGTCACGTTTAATAGAGAATGAAATGACAAAACTTCACCTGCCAGGGATGGCACTTCAGTAGCAACACGCTGGCTTGGCAGCTGGCATTGGCATGTTTGGGGAATTTGTAGACCAGAGAAAGTAAAAGCTAGGTAGTTGAGCAAGAAAGTAAGAAACCCAAATCTACCCTACTCCAAAATGCCCTCCAGAAACTTCATTTCTTTGGGCAGTGTTAATAAAGCAACATCATCACACAAGGTGTAAGGAGGAGGGGAAGCAGAGCTGGAAGGGCAATGGCTGGCTATGCAATTGTATTGCATAAGAATTACTTGTTGGTTGGATTTTTTTTAACTGAGCAAAATACTGTTCCTTGCCAGTGGTTTAAATGGCATGACCTGGAAATTAATGCCTTAATTTCTGTGCAGCATGCACAGTCTCAACAGGTTACTTCCTTCTCCTGTGAGTTTTTGTTGATGTGGAGGATGATTTTTATTGACTAATGGTTTTTATTGACTAATGACTGATGGCATGCAGCTATCATGTAAGAAAGAATTTGATGATTCTACGATTGCTGGTACTATCCCTGAATTAAGAGCATGTTGGGTTGGGTTGGTTTCGGAGAAGCCTTTTTTCTTTGTCCTGTTTCCCTTTGCCTGTACATTTGCCAGTGGTACCTTCACTGCTGCATATGGCCACTCAGTCATCACCTCTGCAGACTCCCTTTGGTTACACTCTTGGCCCTTCCTTCCCACCTTCCTCTCAGCCACTGGTCTCCTGCAAGGACTCTCTGCCCTCACAACCAAAATGCTTTGTGTCCCCTAATGGCATTCACCCGCCCCTCCAGACTTGGCTGTTCAATTAGCTCTTCTGGGATCTACAACTTTAATGATGGGAAGAGCAGAGTGAAGGAAAAAGGAGAATATGGGAAGAGGAGTACCAGGAAAAAGAGAAAGACCAAAAAAGAGAGAGTCCCATTTGCAGATTCACAATTATATCATACAACACTTGAGCTCATGGGAAATGGATCTCCATTTTCTGCATCTGACCCTTTCGCTTCCATCTGTACACAGTTCTCCCAGATGGAGAGTGGAGATGTCCAGTGAACAGGGACAGTTTCCAAAGACAAGATGTGGGAAGGTCTCATTTGGCATACACGAACACAACAAGAGGCGTCTTTTACTTCTCCCTTACAAAAAATAGCTCCCCTTTTCTCCTTGGCGATGGCTTTTGCCCAGTTGTCTTCAACATCCAAAACAGAAACTCGATGAAATCCCACGCCAGAAAGGATCTGGGAAGAACAACTCTCAGGGCTCCCCCCACCTCCCTTCTCCCTGGTTGGTCTTCCCTTGGATCCACCATCCTGAATGCTCAGATGCTCCACAAAAAACCCCAAACATTCTGAAATCCACCGGAGGAGACACTCGGACTTGACAGCCTTCCTCACGCTTCTGCAGTTGCAGTGCCTCAGTTTTGGGCCACAAACACAGCATGGATGGTTTAGTGGACAATCACATTGCGATGTTTTACATTTTTTTCTTTTTGTTAAAAAAAATAAATAAAAGAAGAAGGAAGAAAAAGTTATACACACATGTATCACAGCATTTTCAAAAGGCCTTCTGCTGCATTTACGTTAGCAGTTCAGCCTCAGTTGTAAGCCTGGATGTAAGGCAGCTGGAAGATTAAAACCTCATTGTTGGAAAGTCCGCTGAGATCTCCTCATGGAGGTTTCTTTGTTGTTTTCTGTTTTTATTTTGTTAGATTTGTTTATTGTTATTATTTTAACTTGTTTGCTTCTTTCTAAAGTTTGGCAGGCAAAGAGAAAATGCTTTTCTGCTTTTCCCCACACGTTCTGTCCATTTTGTTTTCTCTTTTAAGCAAAAAACAAATAAAAACAGACCAACCCCAAACCAATGACAGGGAAGGCTTCTGTCATTTTGTTTTAAGAAATAAAACAAAAGTGGGTGGTTTTCTGAGAATGGCCTTGAGGAGGTACATTGTAGAGGTGGCTCAAATGCTTGATTTGTTTCTTTGCTTGCTGCTTGCATTTTCCTTTCTGACTGCAATGGGCAGGCTTTTTGTCCCTCCTTCCCACCCCTCCCTCCATGTCCTGTACAGATTCTGGTTCCAGATCCCCCACATAGACCCCCTGTTCCCCTTCCCAAAAGTGGCAGTAGGTAGGTGCAACTGTATGTTCATTCAACCTCTAAGGTATGATGCTGAAGGTAAGAGTTGGATGGAAGAGCCATGTGAGAGAAAAGCTTTCCCATCGCTGTGAGAAAGAACGAAGCAACACGGAGTCCGGTGGAGATGTGAGTGCCGTGTTGGACTCAGCTCTACCTTGGCACTGGCATTAATTGGAGATTATATATATATATATAATTATATATACATATATATGCATGTGTAGGTATACACAGACATATATATATATATATATTTGTGTGTGTGTGTATATTTGTTTGCTATTTGTTTTAGCACACTGTCCCATTCTCAGGTCTAGATTTGGGGCAGTTGGTCCTGGGGACAGGTTGGACAGAAGGGGCCAGAGTGCAGAAGAAGCCAGAGATAAGAGTGAGGCCCAGGCCCCCCCACGCACAGAACATGGACCAGCCATAGCCATGGCTGATGTCGTCGGGAAGTCCGTACAGGTAGCGGGGGTAGCGGGAGAGCTCAAAGTTGATTCCAGCCACGCACGTGCACAGTGAAATGATGCAGAAGGTTCCTGGAGGAGAGTGGGAAGGGGAGAAGGAAGGAGATAAAAAACAAAACAACAAAAGAGAAGTTAGCAGAGTGATAGACATGCCACTTTCCGAGTTGCCTGAAAAGAGCTGGTGCAAGCAGGAAGGAAACACCTAAGGGAAGATGCTCATGTAGAAAAGTGGCTTGGTCTAGCAGCTCCATGGGGAGCAAACTGAGTGCCATCAGAGCCTTGAATTGATCTGATGCTGAACACAGCTGCATGTAGAAACTTCAGCATGAATGTTTTTTTCATTATGAGCACCCTCTTGGGAAACAGAATGCTTCCTGAAAATACTGATTTTTCTGGAATTTTGCTTTAGACAGATACAGAGTGAATTATGTTTCAATATTTTTTTTTTAAAAAAACCTTGAATTTTTTAATGATAGATTTTATAGAAGAAAGTTTTACAAAATACTTGATGTATTCTGGCTCTGTTGAAATGTACATTTGAAATTACTTGAAGAGATTTCTTTCAGACTTTTCTTATACCAAAATCTAAAATCTTTCATTATATGCTCCCCTCTTACATATCACTGTCAAAATAACAAAATTCCTCACAAAATTTTTATCCTACCCTCTGAATGACTCCAGCCCCAATCTAGATGCCCTCTGCAATGTTGAGGAAATCTTCAAAGTATCCTGTTCTCCATCTCTGCAGCAGTATTTCATTTCTTCCTGAGAACACTGTGACAGCAGGCTTAATAACTCTGTCAGGTGGTGTGTGTTATGGAAAGTCAAACATTTCAGATGATGCTGAACCTTAGCCCACCCAGATGAGTCTAATTTTGATCTTTGGCCTCCAGCTTCATCAAAGTAAACTCTGAGCTCCTGAAATGTCACAGTTGCCACCCACACACCAATGAAAGGGTAGCTACACACATTACGCTTCTGTCTCAAGAGATAACTGAAGGCAACATAAAGTTGGTAGTTTATTTTTCCTCCCTAATTCCTCCCTATGTGGGCCTCTGAATCTCCTGGAGAGCCCTGGGCGCAGAAGGCACGTTCCAGGACGTGTGCTATAGTAACACGTGTGGCCAGTCCCATGTGTTGTCCTGCTGTTTGTGCACACATCAGTAGCATGCTATGTGTGCTACCTGTGCAACACACCCTGCACCTCTTCACTAGCAGCTGCTCTTCCTGGCCTCCTCCCTAAAATAGCACAATCTTGCAAAGTAGTCACAACCAGTTTGAGTTTAGCGTCAAGCTCTTCACTTCTGGGGCCCTCAGCCTCCTTCTACTCCTTCCTGCCCCTGCTCCTGCTTCCCCCCTACAATACTTTTCCAGTTGTTTCTCTGCTGCTTTGCTATTTTTAGTTGCAATTGCATTGAGGCAATTAATTTTACACTCCCCACAGTGAAGACACAGGTAAGATTATGCGGCAAAGTCACCTGGAATTAGGCTCAGAAACTGGGGGCGTTTGTAGGAACATATATAGCACCATAAATGTGTGGCCTTCCCACCATAATCACCTCCTTTACTTGCCAGGTCTAGAAACCACTGGTGAATCTGTCACAGACCTGCTGTGAGACCACTGTCACATCCTTCTCTCTCTTCCCTCTTCTGCTCACTGCCTTGTCTATTTGGACCGTATTTTCTCCAATGTGTTTTGGAGTGACACTTGCAGGTATTGTAAGGGCCAGGGGATATAGTAACTCTATATGCCTCCCCTAATGCTGTGCATAGCTGCCAGATGCCCCAGGTTATTTGTAAGCACTCATAGCACCATGGTCAGGACCAGCAAGCTGTTGTGATGAGTACTATGGCTCTTTAAATAAAGAGTGCCTTCCTTCCTCACAGAAGCTCCCAATTAGTCTACAGTCAGTTCTCCTGACTTCTGCAAAAGCTTTGTGAGATTCCAGGCTCTGGAGCTGTCTTCAGAGGTGTCCTGTACTACTTCAAAGCACGGAGTATGGTAAATAGGAAGGTCTCTCTCCCAGAATCCCTTACTCAAAAAATCAGATTTTCTCATTAGAAACCATACAGTCCTTTCTATGTTTTACCATGTCACTTAGGTTATCCTGTAACATGAAGATGTCCAGCAAGAACATGCTTGTTTCTTGTGTGATATGTCAACATGACTACTACAATGTGGCATCAGGAAAAAATGAATCCATCAGAACCAAGCTCCATGGCTCATTTCAACTGGCTGCAGTTAGAAAATTACATGAAAGGCCTTTCTTTGCTAGCACAAACAGGATCATTTCAGCTCTCTTGAAATACAAGATTGTTAAGAAAGGTGGGTGGGAAAATCTGTGTGGCCAGATTGAAGCTCCATTTGCTAAGTACAAAAGGGAAGGAAATAACTTTGGATTTAAAATGCTCCCTGTGCTTTCACGCTTTGTCTTGGCTATTTTGATTACAAGCTCTTCAATGCAAGGAGCATTCCTTATTCTTTGTATTGGAACAGTGCCCAGTATATTGGCACTCCACCTTGCTGGGGGTATTCTGCCCAATACCCACAAACAGTAAAGAAGAATGAGTAACAATGATAGAGAATAAAGCAAATCATGAGCATGAGACTCTTTTTAAAAAAAGACTGCTTCCATCTGCCCCCTCACTGGAATATGTGCTAATCACACAACCACAAATCTGCCGTGCACAATGTGAGAGGTTGCACAGCACAGTCCTCAGCCAGTCACCCCCCTGTGCTTCTGCAGGATACCTTGTATGGCACAGGTTTACCAATCTCCCTTGTGCTATTCATTACAGACACAAAAAAAGTCACTTTATACCACCTAGAGGAATCTTTATGGCCATTATTTGAGTCCTATGTGCTGTTTGTATTCAGCCAAGCAAGGAAGTTCCCACTTGCAGTTAATCTGGCCTCTCACCAGGAGGGTTACGGATGAAAGCTGAGTATGGTTACTACCTTAGGACTGTTCTGTAGCTTTTCCTGATGAACTGGCAATCATAACACAAAGGATCATCCTTGCAAATTGCACCATTTTTTGCCATCATAGTGAAAGATTCATGGGTGGAAGGGATGCAGAGACTGAGCCTACTTGGCAATGCAACCTCTGCAGGTCCAAATAAGACACAGAGTCAGGATGGCAGGAGGAGAGATGCTATCACTCCCAGCCATGACACTGCCTGCACCACAGACACAGCACTTCAGTGGCACCAGGACTCCAGCAAGTCATGAGCTTCTACAACCCAGAGACTCTTTCTCTCCCCAGAAAATAAACTGAACCCTTATCACTTTCCCGGCAGGTTCTTGCCATCAGTGAGGTGCCCCTCTACATATGCACTAATGCCCCAGACCTCTGGGCAGCCACAGCAATACAAACTTTTCTTTCTTTGTGAAAAACACTCCCCATAACTCTGCCCCAAGCAGTTGACCAGACCTGAAGGCTGATGGTCCAAGGCTCAGCACTTGGCACACAGAATGGGAGTGACAGCTGGTTATAAAAGCTCACCAGGAATGCTCTGGTATGTGAGCTGGACAAGAGAGAAGTGAAGATTCTCAGCTGGGCAGAACAAAACACATGAAGTTTTTTGTGCTGGGATTTACATGTTATCATCCTAAGTGAAACACTAACAAATGAGACAAGCCAAGAGGGGTGTTTTAGACAAAGGAAATTCATGTATAATTGCAAAATGCTTCAGTCAGGTGAGAGATGAAATTTCATGTAAGGCCATGTCTGTGCCACAGAACCTGCTGTTTGGCATGTATTCAAACCTCCACTCTGACTCCTCATTAGACAGCAGTCCTTCCTCTTGGAATTGTTTTGACAGTGCCTGTCCTGCTAACAGACAGATGATCAACAGTGGCTTGAGCACCAGAGCTATAAAATACCTCATGACTATCTTGCGCTTTTCCTTATGGAGGAAGAATATTGAACATTTTACTGAATATCTCTTCCATTTGTATCGGAAGTTTGTTTAGGACAGAGATTAACTTATTTGCTATATATATGCATAAGATTTGTGTCCAGCCATCCTTGCTGCAGGGGCAGAACATGGTCAGGAAAAGGATGGCTGGGAAAGGTAATATCATTGTTGGTCAAAGCTTAATTCAGTGTGGATTATGAGTCAGAGCCCTTTGCTGTAGCTGTTTTTAAACATGATTATATCAAGCAGGGCCATGGACCTCTGCTACTAGGAATTGGGGTTTTTTTTCAGTAAATGTCCCTTTCCAGTCAGCCCAGCTGTGCAAGGGACTGCAAAGTCTCTTTTTGCAGTTTTGAAACGTCACCTGCAGGGGAGAGCAGAAGTGCTTGTGAGTGAACCAGTTTAAACACAAACAGGCTCAAACCACCCATACCAAATATGGTTCAATTTTGCCTCATGCTAGTGCCCCCTAAACCATGGTAGAAGCCACATCCTTTGCCCACAGACCTGGCTCAGCTTCCAGAGTGACAGAGCTTGAGGAATTTCCCAGGGCCCATGGTGTTTCATGAGATGAGAACTGCTGCCTTTCTTGGACACACTGCAAAGGAAGGTGAGTCTTCGTGGTGCTGGTGTGCAAACAGACCCTGCTAGAAAGAGCTACACCTAAACATGCTCATCCCTGCTATTAGGGATGAGGTGTCTGACTGTAGCCAGAAGGAGACCATCAATCTGAAGTCAGGGGAAATCCAAGAAGCCATAATTAAAATGATCTGAGCACCAAGTCCACCTCTGAGACCCACCCTCCTCACAACAAATAATTTTTCTCATTATTTGGAAATAATTTCTTTCACATCTAATAGAACGATGCTCATTCTCTCCCTTCCCCCCCACAACAGGCAGAATGACTCACAAACTAACTGTGCTGTCAGGTGTACAAAGTAAACAAACAAAAAACCCTGCCTCTTCTCCTCTTTTCTTTTTTTTTAAATTTTCTTTCTTTTTCTTTTTCTTTTCAGAGGTAGAAATGTCAAGAATTACTCATAAACAGTAGTAGATAGAAAGAGAAACACAAAGGTATGGATTTTAAGATGTCCTCTGAAACCAAGCAGTTCCCAAATGAATCTCCATTTTTTTAAGTATTTCTAGGAGCT